CTTAATTCAAAAGTTAATATTAAAAAAACACAGATAAACATCAATTTTTGTGTGTCATGTGGTATGTTGAATGCATGACTAGTTCAAATTAGGTGTTTGTGAAGTCAAAATACCAAGTCTATGGTTTCGTACAAATTAGAAACTCAAATTACCCATATTAATAAGCTAGAATACAAAATAAGAAAGTCTTATCTTTTCTAGTTGCTAAGATATTGCTCATGTAATAAATCAAACATAATGGCACCCCACCCACCTCTTTCCATTTTTGGAAATGCTCCCTTATATACACATATATTTATAACATGAATAACCAATCAAATGCTCAGAATGTCCCCCTAGTGGCTTTCTCAGACATTTTAATGGGCTTGAATGCCATTTCTTTCTATTGAACTAATATTTCAAGGAGGTAGGACGTGTCTTTAGACTGCTCCAAATTTCATATTCTTTTAGACTAAAATACATCCTAGCTTGATAAATTATAGTGGAATTCTATGGTATTGATGTAGTAATTCATGATTCTTGAGTTATTCAAATGTATATATAAAACCTAAAAAAAATTATTTTGTTTCATATCCTCCACATGCAAATTTTTAAAGGCTTAGCAACCGAGTACAAAGGTCATAACTAGAAGATATAATTGTTTGCTTTTCTTTTTTATTTACTATTCTATGTTTTAAGAAAAATAACTAAGAACTTATTTCAAAATAACAATAATCTATATACGTATATATTGTATATTAATTGAAATGTGATTGTATTTTACAAAATACTAGTCTACTAAAACACAGCCAAGACAAGTTACTTTGTACAGACCAAAGGTCAGTTTTATGTTATTGGATACAGTAACATCAGTGCACGTGTGCCACGTCATTGTAACTTCTGTATTGTTAGCCAGGCATGGCTGAAAGGTCAATATAATAAAAATAATAAATATATATATAAATGTATAATGTTATGAGATTTGAGCTATTTAGTCTAAACATATATGCTTTTGCGTTATAATTTGTGTTCATTCTAAAATGAAAGAGGCATAATTTATATTTATTTCCTAATTTTTTATGGTGGGTACGAGATTGGTCAAATTTACCGAATCCATACAGAGATTAATTACTGAACATAAGAGAAAAAAATTTATAGATTTTTCTTAAGAAACATTTGATAACTATCTGGACATTATAAAGGTTTCGCAAATGAAATTTCAAAATTTTCTGATGCATAAAAGTATATTTATTTAATCTTAAAATGACAATTACTTTGCAATAATAATTAGCAACATGGAAAAAGAAAAGAAACACATTGCTTTACAAACCTTAAGACTCAATAATAAAAAAAAAAATTATATTTTGTGCATGAAAGCACTGTAATGTTTACTGCTAATCTGCCAAATTTTGTTAACATTCGCTTACTAATTTAAAAGTTATATCATGAAAACTATGACAAACACAAAATGGTTATGAGGTCAGTTCCAGGGACCAAACCCATGCCGAAAGAGTTAACCCTATGATTACGGGTACCCCCATGCTGCACATGTTATGATGCTTTACTTTGTTATATTCAAAACTTAATTAAGCAATCCTATGATCAATGTATACCAATGAAATTAGCATTAAAATTTACATCATAATTCAAAGTGTTATATAATCTAAATTTTAATTCTTTTATTTCAAAAGAAACCTTAAAGGAAGATTCTTAAACTTTAGTTTGACGCACAACTTCACAAATTTTTAACTTTTGGACTTCGTAACTTGAATATGACTCGACATATACTAAACCTTCCATACATAGAAAGAATCTGGGTTAATTGTTCTGTTCGCACATTCTTCTTTCAAGCTCCTTAGGGCACATTCATAGAAAGGTTTGCTTATGTTTATTTTTTTAGTTAAGCACGTAGCTACACAATGAGCTATCTGTGCACTGCCCACCACAGGTATCAAAACCCAGTTTCTTGTGATGTAAGTCTGTAAACATACCACAGTGCCACTGGGGGGCTCAGAGAAAAGAGCAATAAATTTATCTGAACTCTTGAAAGATGCCATGCCCATATTCTACCCATAGATTTGCAATTTCTCAGCCAATTATTCTTATTTATAATCAATTTAAAAAGCACTTTTTAAAATACGTTCTACTAACAGTTATTTTAAAATTTGCATGAAGAATTACATAGAGAAATAGTCAAACCACTCTTAGCATTGTTGCTGCATTTGTCCTCGCCACTTTAGCATTGTTTCTCACCTAGAAATACATTAGTTAGATAGACAGTTGTACTGTATTTAGGTTTTAGTTTTTTATTTTACTTATTTATGTTTTAAGATGCATATTTGAAAGGATTAATAATTTTTATAACATAAATCATCTTCTACTCAGTTCATGTGGGTTAACAAGTGTGCCAATCTACTAGAGGTTAAAGTTTCTCAGCCTGTGATAAAGTAATATTTGTCAGGGATGCCTATGGACATGTGTTGCTATGAAAAATAATAATACTAAAGGACAGAAATGGAAAATAAAATATTAAAAATAAATTAAATGTGAAAAGGCAAAGACATGCAATTAAGAATATAGCCAAAAGATTATTTGATGAAAATTAAAAGGTATGTACTAATAATGGCTGGAGACGGCTTAAATGGGTAATGAAGAAAAACTTTAATATAAGTTTAACATGACAGCAAATGTACAACGTTTCGACAAGGTTTTGTCATCATCAGGTATCATGTACATATTTGTATTTTGAGCATTCCATTGCACTATACATTGATGATAATAGCTAGAGTTAGTGATATGTTAGAGAAAACAGAAACTAAAATATAAACATTTACTTTAAAACAACTTATGCTATTCATTTAGAAGGTTCTGGAAGTTATACAAATGAAATTCTAAAACTATAAAATGAAAAAAGTATTTTTCATACTTCACATGAAAATCGCCTTGCATTCAGAGTCTGAGTGCAAATAACTACAATAAATAAATAATAAATTTTATTGCAAATACTTGATAAAAATAATCTTCTTTTTGGTATACAAAATATTTGTAAACTTTAACAAAATCTTACCAATTTTTATAAAGAGACAAAGAAAGCTCAAAGTTATCAAACATTGTTGCACTGCGCATCATTCTCCATACGAGCTATGCTCATTGGGTACTCCTCCATCTCCATAGGGTTAAAAGATAATAGCACAAAGATATTAAATACACAACATGCTTGATGAACTATGGAGAAAACTGTTTTTTGATGAATATATTAAATTCTTATTCAGACCTGAAAACGATCATCAAAATATTTTGCCAATTTACTGTATGTTACCTAAACTTTGCAATATTTGTAGTTTAAGAAAATGCAGAGAAATGTTTCACAATAAAATATGTGGAGACTTCCTAAAAACATGTTATTTGTAGAAGTTTCACAGGTTGGTGAGCACTCTCAAAAAGCATTTCCTTTGGTATGTTGTCTCATTTTGGTAAGAATGTTGTAACCTAGTGTCACTCATTCTCTCAGGCAAATGTCCAGTAGAGTGGATTCAAGAGAAAATCATGGGAATGTCACCTATAGTCTTCCTACAAAAAGGAATTCCACCAAATAGTTCCAAAATGCATTCTATTCTTCAACACAAAGTTTATTATGAACTATTTTTAAGATGGAAATTAAACACACAACTTACAGCATAATATGTCATGTTTTTTACTGCATATATACCAGAAACTTAGCATATCTTTGACCATTAGAAGACAAGGAAATTCAGCTATAGAGAGCTGAACATCGAAACTACTTTCTAATACACAAATGGCAGCATTTACATGCAAAAACATATATATTACGCACACAGTAAATAGATCTAAAAGATACACAAAAGATCAACACAATTGAATTTGTTTACCTGTGAGAATCCTGCTGCTCCTAGCTCCTGGTGAAGACGATTAAGAGCCCTCTTCCCAGTAATAATCCCTGACTTAGAGTTAACCATTCCACGCTCACTCTGAGAATTTTCTGACCAGGATGTATAGCATCGAGTCTCATCAACAACATGAATCTATATTGTAAGCATTCAGTAAATAATGTAACAGAAAACAAAATTATTTGTTTCATTCTACACTTTCTTTCATTATTGAACACTAGAATCTATAATTACATATACCTTGAATAATAACTGGTACAAAAATATTTTAGAAGTTTCAGTATAATTATGATAACTCAAAACTGTATTTCCTTAAGAGAAATAATTGATGAAGACATATTTTTCAAACATAATCCTTCTTACACTTCATACCTTGGAAGTTTGTTACTTGCTTTACATATAAATTTAAGGGTAACTATTTATTTTCCTGCTATTTTTTCTCTAAGTTCCCACCAAATATTACACATTTAATGGTCTTCATAGAGTACTGGCATGAAGAACATTACAACGAGACATACAGTCACATATTTAGCCATTGCTCAAGCACTCGAATGACACCTAGCTGAACTAAAATTCAATTCTAAACATCATTCTAAAATATTGTCTTATTGAGGTAAGAAGATATATGAAACAAAAAAACAAAACTTTGTTACTTATTATATTTGTAAATTTACATAATAAAACTCATCTTGTTAGAATTTCATACAACAAAATTTGAAAAACAAACAAACAATACTACTAGCATTAAAAGCAAATGAAAGAGAAATGCTGTATTCTTATACCTTTGGTCTTTTGTAGGTAGCATATTTAATTGGCTTCTACTTTCTAAGATCTCATGTTTTTAATAGCATGAGCCATTGTAGGAAGAATAGATAAACATTTTTTGAATTGCTTAATCCTCTGGTTAGTAGGTCAAAGTACCCATGTCACAATCTTTTACAGAGTTCCATAAAGAATTTAATAAAATGACTTTATTATCAATGTATACAAATAAACTTGGCATCAAACATAGTTAATAAAACAAATTTCAATACAAGCTTTAAGTTCTTAATTTTGTACAGAAATATTTAAGAAAAATTATCATCCTCCCAAAGTATGAAAATTGTGACATTTGTTCTCTACATTTTCCTCCTTTTCTAGTTTATTTACCACCTCTCTTTGAAGTATGGAATACAAAGTTAATTACTCATTATAATATAGATATTACTAAGGTAGAGTCTATTTTTTATAGCTTTCCATATTATTTGTTTATGGAATCTTAAACTGGAAAAATCAAACCCATTTACCATGCTCTCCTGTCACATCCCCTATTTCACAAATTACCTATAGTTCTCTCTGACATTTTATACTATATCATTTAAAACCAATAGAAAGGCAAAGTATTAATCTTGTTTTTAATGTATATTCTTTATTTATGGATATAAAAGTAACTAAAATTAGAAATTTATTAGGTTAGATTAGCCAAGATAATGAAAAATAATAATAAAAATTCTTCATGAGGTATACTTACAAGCAACTCATGCTTTATGTCATTTAATATACTAACATGAGTTATATGTTCACCAAGTGATTTAGAATTTGTGTGGTGGCATTATTAGTCTGACATGGTTCAAAAGGCAATAATATAATATATATATATATATATATATATATATATAAACAATTGTTAGTTTTCTGTTACAATCTGCAGTCATTCTACAAAGAAAACATTGTAATTTTGATTTTGTATTTTTTGTGGTGGTTACAAGGTCAGTCAAACTGATGAGTTATGGGAAAGAAAATAACAGAAAATTATAGTTTTACTGAAAAAAAGGTTGATATTTACTTAGAAGGTTTAGTGGATAAGCCAATGAAACTTGAAAATTTTGAGATGAAGAAGAGTATTTTCAATCTTAACATGAAAATCACTTTGCACTCTGAGCAGTCAACATACTGGCTTCATATATTCATACATAAATCTTTAGTAAAAATACCTACTTAAAAAACTGATTTTTTGTGGACAAAAAACTTTTAATGTTCACTGAAAACTTACCAAATTTTATGAAGATACTTTAAACACAACAATAGTTATAGTGTGAAAACTAATTGTTACTTTGGGGTTAGAAGGTCAGTCACATTGACCAATGTGTATGAAAAGAGTTAAAAGATAAGATTAATTCTGAGGTAACTATATATCAATACATACCAGCATTATCAATGATTGTACAGAAAGTACTAGTCAAACTAAAAGTAAAAACTAATGTCACACTGCCAACTAAACTAATTTAAGCTTCAGACTTTTCCTTCCCTAGATTCTGTTTAAGACTTGAAGATTTCAACAATTGCATACAACACAATATATATGAATGTATATATGGTTTGATTTGCTGATGATTTACCAAAGTTCAGTTGTTTTTTTAAACATCTTTTTAAGGAATTTTTATGCAACATTTTACAAGGTTGCATTTAACTCTTAACACAATGTTGTATAGCATATGTTCTGCAATCATGGAGAATATTTTAAAATTAAATCAATAAAATGGAAATTCTTTAACCTTATAAAATCAGTGATAATAACTACGTAATGTTTGACTTTGTAGATGCAACAAGTGCTCACATGATTCTCATTTACCCATTCTTTCATAGGATACACAAGCTTTCTGTACTGGTTAAAACCCTCATCTTTTGAATACTTGTTTATTGGAACTTAAACATAAAAGACGAAATTTGGTTCTAACCAAATGCACAACACACTCAGGAATTAGTCACATTCTTACTTTATATGACAATGATAAAGGGTATGACATTTTATAATCCAATATTGTCCATAAAAAATAATAATAATAATTACATGATGTGGAACCAGTTCATCATATCCTCTAGTACTTCCGGTAGCACAACAGGCCATTGAAACTAAAGCAGTGCTGGGTAGAAGATCATATACAGAACGTTTCTGAAACATTGAGTCAACATGTTTGTTTCAAACAGAATTTTTGCAATAGAATTGCAAGTTCAAAGCTTGTGTCAGTTGAGTTTCACTCCAAACAGCTTTTATAGTATGGCAAATAAAATTCATAATATATAAAAACAAATGTTAAATTGGTATCATAGTATAATTACAATTCAAAAAATCATTCAGAAATTATTTTAAACATTATAAGTAATAAGATTTAACGCAATTATCTATACAAAATTGGAAATATTGCTCACAAATACACCAGTTCAAACATACCAAACCAGTAGATGTTACAAAATCTACTAAAATTCATAAATAAATGCATACAAGCCACTTTTGGAAATATTATTAGGGCATGAACACACACTTATATGTTTGTTTTATTAACATTTTGAAATTTAATATTTGATTAATGATACATATATGTAAGTAATGTGAGTTTCTTGTGAAAAAAGTTTTCAGGATAAGTTTTGTAAGAAAATAAGTTTAGTTATGTTAGTATCAAAAAGATCCATAGAAGTTCACAAGAGATAGAGTATTTTGGCAATTAGGTCTGGAAACAAACTTTCACTTCAGAATTACAGATAAGACATGTAAGTTATCAAATACTCAAAAATTAAACCAATATTCTTGTTACAACAACTGTGATCTTTCTTTTGTAATTAACAAGAAAAAAAAGAAAGAAACAGGAAGTATTTTTTTCATGCTGCATGATTTATACCACTACATAAAACTATTTTACAACATTTGAAATTACTATCAAATCAGTTTCATTTCACAGTAATTATAATAATTGTAAAGCAATTTAATGTTTAAGCATTATTTCTGAAGAATGTTTTAGAATTGTTTGGCAGAAATGAAGATAAATGTTAACATAATTGCCATAATTGCCTGTTTCTTGAAAGTCAAATACTGTACGAGAATCTTAATACCCTTTTGGTTATCAGTATATAACAGACTTACTTGTATTGGAGAAGGATTATCATGTGTAACATCAAGAAAGACGGCATGTGCTATACTTGGTACAAGAGGTCTGACAGGAGGCTGAATAAAAGCACCAACTGGCTCACCACCATATCTATATACCAAACGTCCAAGTTCATGAGAATCATGAGCACTCATTGCTTCTATAAAGTCAGAAAAATAAAAACCTATTTTTACATGGTTTACAAAGTCACAGATGAAAAAATATGTAACTATTATTACCGATTTTCCAAAGATAAAGAATTTTCTCGTACATTAGCTTTAATAACAAATTGTGGTGAAAACACTTTTTAAACAACCCATAATACTTGGTTTTAAATGTGCATGTGGGATAATAATTTGGCTTCTATACTGAAGCCTTTTTTGACCTAAAGAAAGCATCAGTATAGAAGCCAATACATCTTTCCACTCTATAAACTGGCAGAAGTAGTCCATTAAAATTAAAACTCTACCATGTCTACATTGCATGGTAATAACCCTGAATCAACACTCCATAACACAAGTTATTCTAAAAATAAAAATTAGCTCCATCCTTTATTGCAATGTCATTTTTCTCAATAGGAAATTACTTTTTTTTTATCATTTTTATTTTTAAAACACAGATTTGACCACTTCATTTCATATACAGCCTCAACAACCTTGTTAGAATTTTATAAATGCTTTGAAACTAATGTAGCTGGTAGTTGCATATTTTTAAACGAAGAAATTCTCAAACATTAACATTTTCCTAATCTGAAAATGTATTTCTGATAAGGACTCACCTCCTACACAGAAGTGCTATTTTTCCCTTGCACATCTGCCTATGAGACTTACACGCCACTAGCCTTGAGCTAATTCCTACCTAAATTTACAAATTTAACCTGAAGTGATCTGGCACATGATGACATCGTCATGCAAGAATAACCCTCCACCAATAGTACAGCCACACAACTTCCATGTGCAGTAACTCCCCCTATTCACTTGCCTAGTGATAACTTCATTCTTAGATGAGGCAAGAAAAAAATGGGGCACTGAAATTGGGGAGGTTGAAGTGAGTATCTATCTTTCAGTTTAGGAAAATGTCAACTTCCAAGACAATACCTCAGCTGCTCACACAGTTAACTAAATTCCCACATTGAAATGTTGGATTGACCTGTGCAAAAATTACCTAGATAAGCCCTCTTCAGAAAGCACCTGAAGGAAGCCCGTGGGGTGAAACACCCAATGGCAGGGGCTCCATAGAGCACACCCTTTGGAGACAGCATCTCAGCGAGGGTATACTCTTCGCTTGAGATGAAAGGGAAGAAAAGGTGAAAGAGCCTGGAGTGTCGCAGGGATGGGAGGAATGTGATCATGACCAACCTAGTACCTGCACACAAGTGGTCAGCGAGCCAATATACGTATTGTAGCTAAGGCATGATCAGACCATACGGTGTTGTTTGCTTCAACTCTACTGGATAGATTATGGTTGCAGGAAGAGGGCACAGTAAATGATTATTGGGTGATCCATACTACACTGACAGTGTCACCACCATCCTATTTCTCACCATATTGTGCTAAACCCAACTGGTGAGGATTCTCCATGGTCCATCCCAGCAACTAGGAATTGGTAAATGGCAAGAGTCTCCCACACTCCACTTGAAGAAGAGTGTGTGTATGGGAGAGGGGGGGGAGTTGTGTTGGGAAGGCCTAGAAAAGTGCCTGCCAGACCGCCAGCCAGAAAGGTCTTTTATAGAAGACGGGTGATTATGAAACCCTATTTTTAAAAATTGGCAAACTTGAGCCAATGACGTGGACAATCACTTCCCTGGTGCTGGCTTTTTCTTTGATAGTCCATGGAATTGGTATGGTTTGGATCAAACAATTTAGTAAACTTGTATACCATCAGAAAGAATACCTAATGTGGTTTTGCGGAATACTTCATCTTGCAGTGGGTACTGGTAGAGCCAGGGTGGATGAGTTTAACACTTTCCTTATCCTGGCCAGATGTGGATTTTGGAAATAAGTATACCCTGGGAGGAAACACAAGCCATCTGATGAGATCCTGAGAGAAAGGAAAAAGATACTTACCCATCTCAAAGATGATGGGTTGAATGAAGAATGGTAACCAGAGGAAGTTGAAATCTGGCAGAAGATAAACAGCCAGTTGAAGAAGATAATAAGCAATGAACATGTGGAGAGTCATCCACATGCCTGCCTGGAAGATCTCATCCAAGGGATGGCAAAATTGGGGTGCAAGAAGTGAGATAGGCAATGAATCTGATGTGAAGAAATGTGAAATAACATGCAAGCATCAACATCCGGAGCGGAATATAACAACCAGAGGAGTTGACTGACCCATCCAGTAAGGTTGAAATGAGAGAGTTCTTTGGAAAAAAGAGGGATCCCAGGGTAGGAACAGATGATGGCAGGAACCCTAAAAGGGAAAAGTCTGTGGCAAGTAATGCCAAACAGTCCGAACAGGACACAAGAGTATTCTAGGTTTGAACAATCATATAGATTAGATGTAGAAGGAAAGGAGATAAAATAGAAAGTACGGTTACTTTCCTAAGCAGCAGAGGTTTTACAAATGAAAGATCAGCCCCATTAAAGAAACACGTAAGTGTGTTGGAAGAGGATTTGAGAAGCATAGACATCTGAATGATGGCAACCATAAGCAAAAAGAAAAAGGAAATAAATCTCAAGAGAAAGGTGTTATAAAGAGCAGGAAGCCAACAGCTCAAATGGGGCATGCCTGAGAGCATGAAAAACCACAAGAAGGTACCAGTTAGACATTGGAATCAGGCAAAAATGTCAGTGAAGAATGAAGGAGTGAAACAGAATGGAGAAGACAAGAGAAGAAAACACCCTGTGGTATCAGGAAGGACAAAATGTAGTGCACAAGGCCGCTAATAACCAGCAATAGTGCAGACCAACAAAACATAGTCAAACAGCCAGGTAAAAAAGGCAGAAAAGTGGTTCACAGTATAAGAGTTACTAGAAAAGGAGTGGTGAATGGACCAATGATGAAGAAACAGCCACTTTAACTGATAGACAGACATAGTGGAAGGACAATAGGAATGTGACAGTGAGAATGCTACACATTTGTAGAGTCAGGTCCAATGGGCTACAGATTGGAAAAATCCCATACGTGAAGATGGAGGTATGATATCTCTTGGTAAAAAGGGACAGCTGAGGTTGAAACAAAGGTAGGGGACATTGGGTAGAGGAAGGGGGCATGCTATGTGAAGAAGCAGAGAAAACAGATAACCAAGTCTAGGCTAGTTAAAGAGGCACCACTCCACAAGGAGTGTTTCATATCAAAACGTGGATCTGGAGGAGGAGTCAAAGATAAGGATAGGCATACAGTAAAAGGTGAGATCAGCCCTGGGTGATAGCACCTACAACCAAAGATGAAGAATAAGGAGTAAGTTACTGGAAAAGAGGAAGCTTGGGGTTTAGAAGGGTTGCAAAGTATCTATGAAAGGTGTGTCAAACCAAGAAATAACCCAAAGAAAGACTTTGTGGTGTAGAGACCACTTTCTTGGTAGAAATTCAGTCAAGTTCATAGCTCCTGGTACATGACAAGTAACAAGAGAAACCCAATGTGAATTCACCCAAAAGGGCAGGTCCAATACCTAAAAACAAAGGGTCCTGGAACAAGTTCCCCCTTGATGGATGATGTAAGAAATGACCAGGGTATAGCTGAAGTGTTTCATGACCAAGTAATCCATCAATAGTGGCAGGAATTGGAAACATATCAGATGAACAGCAAGAAGTTTGAGAATTGATGTGGAGTGAATGCATATTATCATTCAGAGAAGTACCCTGGGGATGATAAGGAAATGCCAGAGATTGTATTGACACAGTCCAGCTGAGGAGCTAAGTGAGAAGGGAAAGAAGTAGTATGGGCCATCATAGTAAAAAGAAGGGAAGGAATCACACCTGAAAACCCTTCTGGAGCATGATGAAACACCTCAGACATAAGATGCAAGTGGTGATAAAAAGAGGAAGATGCAAAAACCATGCACTTAACAGTGAAACAGAAAACAAGGGATGTGCTCTCCAAGCAGATAATAAAGATTTCAAAGGTAGGAATGGCTGTAAGCTAAGATATTGGAATCATGGAGGAGAAAACAAGGCATGTGGGTATGGGTACAAAGTTGTTCAAGGAAGGAATCAGTCGAACCAGAATGTCAAGCGAGAGAAGAAACATTAAATAATCAGGAGGGCTAGGATCATGGAGCAAAGAATGGGAGAAATCATAAGACACAGGTGAAAAAGAAAGAAAGGAACATTCCTGAGAAGTCAAGTCCTGAAACAGTATGGAAGGTTGAGGATGTTCCTTGATTGGTAAGGAGGTACCCAAGGCAAATACTGGTGGATGGCACAGACAATCAAATTCATCTTCCTCTTGTTCAACCTCAAACTAAAGGGAAGGAATGTTGGCCAAATGAATGGGAATACAAGACCAAGCATACATAAGAGATCTTACAACTTGCTGTACAACGGCAGTAACATCCTTCACAGTCAATGAGCTTCCAGAAGCCACAGTAGAAATAAGGCCTGTGTATGTAACATCACCCACACACAATAAAGTTGAAGTCATTTTTACTTGAGAATTCATGATAAAATGTAAAGCATTAGATATAAAAGCTAAAGAAAAGAAAAACAAAGTTTCCCTAACAAATGCAAGTTTCATCAAATTGAACTCAGACAAGAAATTTGAAAATATCTGTTCAATGCAATTCTGAAGAAAACAATGAAGTTATCATGAGGTCAATTGCACAGAGAGAGTTACTGCACATGGAATTTGTGTTGCCCTCCTGTTGGTAGAGGGCTTTTGTTGCATAATGACATTATCATGCACCATTGCAGTTCACATTAGATACTTGAATTTAGGTGCAACTCTCACAAGCAGACACATGAAGGAAATACCATTTCTGTGTGTGGAAGCAAGTAATTGTTGCAGAATTCCAACTTTTCAAAATCGGCTTCTGAAAAAGCTATAATAATTGTTTTCAATACACACTTAATAGATGACACTGGCTTGCCCAAACAGCTACAGCCCAATAGGTTTGACTTTTATTGTTATTTAGACTTTGTTCTTATAGTGACCTACCTTTATGTATGATTTTCATTTTATAGTTCTAAGTTCAACCTCAAGTTCTTATAATTTCAAAAGTACTACAATGAAAGGAACAAAAGAGTAAGTAAGAGTTTGTAATGATCTGACATGAGTTTATTCTATTTTTATTTCTTGCTTACACTGAAAAATTAACTAGGAAACTCACTGGACTATTTGTTTACCAAAATACCTTGATATCATAGTTGATATTTCACTGAGTAGCTAATATACTAAACCTTACTGGCCAATATTTGAGAGAATTTCTCAAGACCTAGGGAGCTGAAAAAATATTAATTTTGAATCTCTTCCCTTAAAGTTCAGAACAGCATCATCTTGAATTATTTGGTATTAAAGTGAATGAGCATCAATACTTGTAATTTTATATGATGTGTATCTACATGCCCTTCAAACTACATGTTATTACGGAAAAGTTAAAAATATTACCTCTATTAAAATCTAAAATCTCTGTTAATTTTTTTAAACCTGTAAAATTATTATAAATAATATGAACAAGTTAGGATAAAAACTACAGCAATTTTTAATTCCATACAAATAGAATGTTTACTCTGCTGCTCAAAACAATAAGATGTAAACATTTACACACCACGCACCTCTAATGAGTGAATTAATCCCCAGACGATTGACAAAAATGTTGTCTATCCTTTCGCTTGATGTAAACAACTCAGCAATAACATAAAGGTCTGGCCGAACTCGTCTTGCTTGTTCCATCAAATACTTGAAAAATTAATTAGAATATTGAAGAAACATTTTCTATTTGAATCATTAATGATTTCAAACTGACACAATCAGCTGTATTTTTCGTATCTGTTTATAGTTTGTCTTTATATTTTGGCATCAATGATTCAATTTTTCAATATCTTTTATACAAGCTGCAGAAGTTACTACCCCAAAATGATATGCAAATAAAAAAACAAATACTTTGAATATTAATACTGAATTGCTTGAAGAACAAGTAAAAAGTAACACTGATATCTATCTATCTATACATATAAAGCACAAAAATCTGTGTGTATATTTGTCAATCCATTATCTAACTACTCTGAGGTCACTAGGCCAATCTCAACCAAACTTTGCGGGATGATAGTTCGGAACAAGGGGCATGTTAGTGGCAGGTTCACAACCCCCTCCAAACCTCCATTATTGCTGTTATTGAGCATTTATAATCTTTGATGTAAGATAACATTAACTTCTCTTACACACAAAAAACTTTATTAAATTTTCTATAACACAACATACATACAGTGTGGGGGGCACACAAATGTCCTATATATCTCAGAGTGTGTGCTAACACTCTCTGTGGAGGAAGGCAATGAAAAAAATGGCCACTACTATTGCAATAATACATAAACTCAGCTGAAGTTTCTACTCCAACAGATACCATAAGGCTGATATATAGAGCCATTTCTTGAGTTATACCCACTTCCTACTTTGACCCGTGACGTTACAACTTTATCCCATAAAACACTTCTGGAACCAATGACCGTCAATCAGTTAATAATGTGAAACACTGTGGAGTGACATTAAGAGCTGGGTATAAAAGCAGGTAACAGAAAGCACTCATACCACAATTAATTTGGTCGCTACCCCTTCCTACAAACTCACCCTGACCATTGCTCAGTGTATACCATGTTTTAAGCATATACACAGTGAGTTCTTAAAGCTCATACAAAACTTTTGGTGAGGTAATAATGAATACTGTAACAACATGTTATGTTATAAATAAATTGTGGGAAAGTTAGGATATTTGTGTTAATTATCATAGCATCCATCCTCACATTTTCTTAAGTTTGTAACTCGCACAAAGGATGGGTACCTCAGCTTGTATTATCATGCAGACTAGAAAATATGCCTTCCAAAAACTAGTTTTTTTTTATATTGTCAAGCACTTGAAAGTATCATACAAGGAACATATACACTGTAAAATTATATTCATATTCAAAGAAGTTGTTTTAAAACAACAAATAAAACAAGGAAACAACACAATAAAAAAAAATTCATATCAAATTGTAAATAAAGAACTTTGTGAATAAAATAACTTACTTCTGCTACATATAATGGGGTACTGTGACAATTATCCAGCCTTAGGCCTTGGAAAACTCTTGCCATTTCTTGAACATAATTAGTCATATGTTTCCACAAGTAAGGACAGTCTTCTGGTTTATCCCCATATCTTAGCTTTACACTGTCTCCCCAAGCAATCAGTTCTCTTCTGATATAAACATTAGACCCTGGCTCTGCAAAGTTTCGTAATGGGTCATCCCCCATCACCCATCCATTATGAGCCATTATTTGACATGCTTCGGGGCCATACATAAGTTTCTCTTCTTCATCAATGGCAGTATCAGGAAAGAAGTGGGTAAAATACCTAGAATAGTGTTATACAAATATGATGAAATATGACCCCCAAAAAATAATAACATTATTATTCCTTTACATGTTTATTTACTATCAGGTTCACATACAAACATGTTTTATAAAACACAAACTAGTAAAAGAATACAAACCTTAATATGTAATTAAATGCTTAACTAGTGTGGTAACAAAAAATAGTAATATTAATTTCAAAAATGGTGAGTGAACAAAAGAGATAAGCATGGAATATTTTATAATTATAGACACGAAGTAGAATCAAATTCATTAAAACAAAATAAAAAAGTTTTAAACTATAATTCAACAATCAAAACACCTTACATTCATGAAAAAAATATGTTAAACTTCAAATGTTTTTATCCTTCACATTCCTCTTAATTTTTACACTATGGATTTCAAGTCTTACATGTGTGTGAAATGTAATTTTAGAACAATCCTTTCTGTTCCACAAATCACTGCTCAAAAGGTATTTTGTTGAATTTAAGAACTTTACCAGCAGGGCTGGAAATGAGCAACAAAAGTTTATCTGAAACACTATTTATATATACATTGTAAGAATTTAAAGTAAGAGTCTGAATGCTGAAAACTGATGAAGAAATGGATTGCAATACTTCTCTAAATGATTTCTGTTTTCTCTGTTTATACAAATATTTTCTTTCTCCCAAGAAAAACAGACAAAAAAAGTACTTTAAATGATTAATATAAAAATTACTGCCTTACTTTGGAACCAAGGGATGTTTTTTAGAAACAAGTTTTATCTTTGGACCATCAGGTTGCAGGTGCTGATATCGTACCCCAGCTAGGACATTTTCTATTGCAGCCGTCAGATGAATACGTACTTCTCGCATAATGTTTTGATTCATTTCTTCTAACTTATGACCAAATGCTTCACAGCATTTGTTTATTCTGTCTTGTTCACTTACAGCATCATTTCTATGATTGGTTTAAAATACATAAAATATCATCACCCATGTGCTTTCCTTATAAAGCTTCTGCCAATACATTGATAACTTTTTACCCTTCCAACCATTAAAACAAAAAACGAAGACAATTGTACACTTCACAAACACTTCCTTTATCCATGATCATGGTTTCGCCAGTAATGTCATCATGGTCATGAATAAATGAAGTTTTTGTGAAACGTACAATTGTCTTTGTGTTTTTCTTCAATTCTGGAGTTTCAAGTATCAATTATATAAATTAAAATTTGGATTAAAAAATAAATATTAAAAGATGAGTTTAGTGTTTCTTTTCTCTACTGTATATTTTTATATTCTTTATTACATTCTAAAGATTACATAAATAATTCAAACAACACTGTTAAAAACCTTTTGGTGACTGACAAATGGGATACATGAAATACAGTATTAAAGAAATCATAGCAACTATACATCTTTAGAATTTTGGAAAAATAGTTTGCATAATTTATATCAATTATTCTATACGAAAAATTTCTTCTTCAAATAAAGTAATGCAAAAGTTATTAAAACAATAGCATTATACAAACCTTAAGACATTGAACATTTTTAAAGCAGTATCCATATCAACCTTGGAAGTTAACCTCTTATAATTTGGATCTTGAAGTACTGTAAGTTCCTTCCCTACTGCTACTTCCTCTTTACAAGGCCCTTTCATTTCTAAAAAAACAATAATATTTAGCAAAGTGTAGGAAATATTCAAAATAATTTGTCATTGGTGTTTCAGTTATTTTGGACTTCTAAAAAATTAAAAGGTTAAAATGTTATTTTGTTTTACATATTATTGCTCTACAAACACCAAATCCTTGACATAATATAAAGAGTATAATCTAATTTGAATGAAATCTAGATTGTTAGCAAGTTTATGTTTAAGCACAAAGCTAATGAATTGGCTATCTACTTGTACCCACCATAGATAATGAGCCCCGATTTTCAGCATTATAAGCCTCAAGCATACCACTGAGCCACCAGGAAGGGGAATTATTTTGTTGGCAAAACAGTTAACTTTTTCAAATATTTTGTAGCAAGTTTTTGTGAAAGCAAATAGTTTTCAAAAATTATAACCCATTTTTGTAAAATTCTAATTCAGAATTTTGTTTCATTTCATTTAAAAGTTTCTCTACTAGTTTCATAATATTTTAGAAAATAAAATTTAAGCTTAAAAACAACAACACAAAATACTACATTCTCAGCAAAACTATTTTCTCTCAGAACCACCCCCCCCCCTAAAAAAATTACAAAACTCCAAAAGCAGATTAAATATTTGAAAATATAAATTAACCCCAACGTTATTTTCCTACCCTGAACACGAACACGAAATTCCTTTATTAGGGAGTCTTTATCCATCATATATAATTCATGAATCTTCACTTGTGGAAGATAATATCCATGAAGAGCAGCACGAATACCCTACAGATAATAAATAAATAAATACAAATTTATGTGGCTATATTTAAAAATACATGATATAACCAAATACTGCATGATGTTCAGTGTTAAAACATCTTTTTTCTTAGAACTTCTTGTGACATAGCAGATAGAGAAAAGTAACTCTTACAGACAGATCATTATGATTTCAAAACCAAGCAGCTTACTTTTACTAGATATTTTGTACTGCATCTTAGTATTCATTTTTACAGTTGTTTGTGTATTATGTTTGAGCCTTGATATTAGTCAAACTAGGGGCACATTTTATGAAAAAAAATACAGTTTGATTGCTCTTTATTATGGAGAATTTACTGTTAAAAATTTTTCTTTCACTGCATAATTCATACAAAATCTACTTGTATACTTCCACCTATGTGAACTACATAATAGAATTAAGAACAAATGTACTACATCTAAATGTTTTTCTTCCTGTATACACTTGGGGATCCCACTGAACTCCCATTTGTCTTCTATTATATCTAAAGCAAGGTGCCATAAAACTCTGTCCAAGAGGTAAGCAGGTCTCAGGTGTGGAGAATTTTCAAGGTTGTATGCACACTCTGGATGTTCCTTGAGCCATGGACTTTCATTGGCCGAGTGGTTCAGTACCACATCAGTAATAGCTGTCACCTATTAAGAATTACAGGTTATTAGAAGCACATGTGTCATTTTATAAAAACAAACTTCAAACTTTTCTTAACTTAATGTCATAATACTGATTAACTCTTTCAATCTGGGCTTGGTCCCTGGGACCAACCTCATAACTCTTTTGTGCTTGTTATAGTTTTCATGCTATTACTTTTAAATTAGTAAGCAAATGTTAACAAAATTTGGCAGTTTATCAGTAAACATACAATGCTTTCATGCACAACATATCTAATTTTTTAATTAATTCTTAAATCTTGTAAAGCAATGTTTCTCTCATGCCTTTTTTTTTCTATTCACATCTTGCCTATCCATCATGCAAAGTAATTTTCATCATAACATTAAAAATTATTTTATGAAACAGAAAATTTTTAAATTTCACATGCAAAATCTTTATAATGTCCAGACAGTTATCAAATGTTTATTAAGAAAAAACTTTATATTCTATTTGTTATTTTCAGTAATTAATCTCTGAACAGGTTTGGTAAACTTGACCAATTTCACAATCAGCATAAGAAATTGGGAAATAAACATAAATTATGCATCTTTCATTCTAG